CTGGTCAGTACATGTAGCTCCGTTCTGACACGGGTCTGGACTACAGTCATCGATGTCTGCGGGGATTGAAAAAACGCAAGAACCGTGGTCGCAAATCATTTCCAAGAAAAAGGGAAAAATACTTAAGTATGATAAACGAGCAGGATGTTTCCAAAACCTGTGTAGTGATTTATCTTGTTGGAGGGAGATCATGATGAGTAGATGACGGTGTTAGAGACAGACAGACAGACAGACAGACAGACAGTGAGGATGGACTTTTGAATGACACAGACGGAAAGAGAAGATTGACTTTTTAATCTGACAATGGTTTGCTCCGTGCTCAGACAGCACCATTTTTGGGATGATAACAAGTTTGAAGGTAGAATACAGGCGGCTGTACTTAGGTGACGGTTGAGGAGGAGGAGGAGGAGGAAGAGGAAGAGGAGAAGGAGAAGGAGGAGGAAAAGGAGGAGGGGAGGAGCTGGAGAAGGAGGAGGAGGAGGTGGATAAAGAGGAGGATGAAGAGGAGGTGGAGCAGGTGGAGGAGGAAGAGGAGTAGGAGGAGGAGGAGGAGGAGAAGGAGGAGGAGGATTAAAAAGAAGAAAGGCAGAATGGGATCACACAGTCTACAGTAATACATGTATAATGTAGCTCCGTTCTGACACGGGTCTGGACTACAGTCATCGATGTTTGCAGGGATTCAAGGACGCAAATACCGTGGTCGCAAATCATTTACAAGAAAAAGGAAAAATAATGAAGTATAGTAAAGGAGCAGGATGTTTGCAAAACCTGAGTGGTGATTTATCTTGTTGGAGGGAGATCATGATGAGTAGATGACGGTGTTAGAGACAGACAGACAGTGAGGGTGGACTTTTCAATGAGATAGACAGAAAATGAAGATTGACCTGGTCAGTACATGTAGCTCCGTTCTGACACGGGTCTGGACTACAGTCATCGATGTCTGAAGATGATAGAAGGTTACGTGCGACTAAAACATGCAACTGATTTAAATAAAACTATATTATCTTTATCTTTCCCCATGACCCGTCTGTTCAGGTTCTATAACCCTGCCAGCGATGGTGCTGCTTTCGCCGACGTCATTTCTCTCGACTATTCTCCAGGCGTTATTGTTGTCACCAGGGGTTCAAAGGTCAAATAGAAACAAATGTGATGCTTTCGAGGACATTCTATGTCAGAGAAAGTTTCAGAAAAAAATGTGAACAAAAGTTTTGAAGAAAAAAAAAAAGATGCCGAGGGTTAGAAGATGATGGACATTCCGTACCTGTGACACAAGTGTTGTCTGTGTAACCAGCTGGACAGGTACAGGTGAAAGCGTTGAGCTGGTCATGGCATGTAGCTCCGTTCTGACACGGGTCTGGACTACAGTCATTTATGTCGGCATTTAAATTTTGAAGAAAGAAAGCACTGCCCCCCTCCCCCCCCCCACATTGCTGATTAAATTTTGCTAAGAGAACACCTTGAAAATCATGCTAATCCAGAGTGTCGGAAAGACCTATGTTAGTGCGTGGATGAATTTCTGTTGCTGCTGCTGCTGCTGATTATGCCGATTATGCTGCTACTGCTGTTGCCTCTGTTGCTGCTGTTTCAACTGCTGTTTCTGCTACCGCTGCCAGGGCTGCTGCAGTTTCTG